TATTTTTGTTTATTATTTTGTTTATTTTAATTTTCATGCACACCCATATTTGTTGGTTGCAGTAAGCTGAAAAGGCTTTGGGGTAAGGTTTGCAACCATTATATTTATGGAGTCACTGATATTTATTTTGTATCTTGATTTATCTGTTTATTTGTTGATTTATTTTTGTTGGTTTATTTTACTATTACTGACATCCACTGAAAATTTGCTGTAAACTTTTTCTGCGAAAATAACTACAAAGCTCAGATATTTGTGTTTCCTGCTCATCAGACTGATCTTGCAGATGCGCATTGTCAAGAACTTTTGGCAAGGCTGAATACACCTGGAAAAGAAAACAGTGAGGTGTGTGGGTATTGTATCTTTGTCTTAATAGTAATATATAGTGTAGTTTATATTAGGCGAAGAGCCACCTAGTGGATGTCCTTAATAAACCATTATTATTATTATTATTATTCAACTTTAATTTTTGCATTATCATGATGCTGGCATAATGATCCTGCCATTTCTTAAAAATTGATACAGTTTATTCCATTTCAGAGTGGAAATTATAATTCCCTGAGGAGGCAGATGAATCCAACCATACTTCAGAATGGGAAGTCAAACCAGACTCAAAGGACAGCGGTTAAACGTCGTCAAGAGACTTTCAATGCTGCCATGGTCATCCATGGAGGAACAGAAGAAAACCCACGTCCTGCCAATGAGGGCATGTTTGATACCTTGTGTAAAAGGAGTAAGCTTGATGACATGACCAATCTTGTTTCAAGCAATGCTAAGCTCCAGGCAAGGGTAGCATCAGCCCATTGCTCTCGTGAAATAAGATCATTTGAAACTTCAGATGAAAATGTTCTTCGAAGTGTTGCCGCATATTATAGTGGGGGAGTGATGGGAAAGACAAAGTATAAGTCAGTTAGACTTGTTTTGGCAACAAAGGCTAGTACAAAAAAGCAAGGGGGTAGAGAAGCATTGTGCTTTATGCAAAAAAGCCGAATTCCCAAACTATTACCATATGATAAGTTGGTGAGTTATATCAAGCAAGTAGATATTGGAAAGGTTTACTCAGTCGAAGAAGAGTTTTCTAATTATATTCAGGCT